TAAATATCAATTTTCTTTAAATATAAAAAATATTTTAAATATTTTAGATTTGACGGCCATATTAAATTTAAAACACTTAAGTCTAGAACTATTATCACACCCATGACACTGGAGTGTGGCAACCATGCTAGACCCATGTTGGTAAACATGTCATACTCATGTTATTTGAGTCAGATGTCCAAGTAATTTGGGTTTTGTTTATTTGCTAGACTTAAGTAAATATGAGTTCAAGGCTAAAATTTTGAATTTAAAAATAATAAAACAATATTAAAATATCAAAATGTCATCCATGATTATATAAAATTATACAAAAAACAACGTAAAAGAACAAAAATGCCCCTATATTCAAAGCTTATTGTTTTTTTTTTAATCTTTTCAAAAGCTAAATATGTATTTTAACTATTTAATAGTTTGTGAAAGGTCAAAAAATTCCTGAGCAATATATCTTAATTTTGTTAACTTTGTAGGTAAAATAATATTTTATTATGCAAATAATCATAAAAAAGACTACTATACTCCCATTGAAATGTTTAATGACCAATGAGCTTATAAAAAATATTGAAATACCCCTACAACTAGGGCTTCAATTTTTTGAAGCAAATGACAAAATGATAATTTAACTTTATGTGAAAAGATAACATTAGCCCCATCCCAAGCCTTTAAAGCTTCGAAAATCCACCATGCAAGTTTACAGTGGACTGTGTCGTAGTCCACATTATATTTGTACATGATTGCCAGATTTAAACTGTTTGGGTCTAGTAGGCCTGTGCTTAGCTCTAGCAACCATACCATACCCAAGTGTCTTGGCCTGACAACCATGCCAGACCTATGTATTTTGTTTTTTGAAAATATAGGAATTCATTTATAATTGTTATAAAAATATATTTATTTTGTATTTTCATCTTTGTTATCTTTTCTATATTTCTTTTTTTTTTTAATTTTGGGACATTAGCCACACGCTTTCCTAAAATTCACCCTTTTTTATTAATTTCTAATTTTAGTAAAGAAATCATTTACAAAATTGTACAAATTAAGATAGTTAAAAGGACAATAAGTCTTTTACATATACAATATTTTCTTTTCTTAAAACATAATATATCAATTCAAAAGTTTTCTTTTATGATCATATATTTCAAATTTTCATATATACTAATAATTATAATTTAGAATAAATTCTTCTTGTAACAAACTTTGACAATTAGATCATGCAACATCTCAAAATTTAAAAAGCATGAACCCTTTATAAACTGTCCAACACTTGGATGAAAATATAAAATTAATATTTTCATCCACTATGTTTAATACAAAAAGGCTTATTTTTGAAGACTTGAGATAAATTACTTGGAACTCAATATTTTTCCATTATTTCCTCTTCAAATATAAAAAGTTTATAAAATAAGTTGCATAAATAAAAAAGAGTTCGTAATTAAGTTCTACTATACATGCATGAAAAATCATGCTTTAATGAGGCAGTGTTTGTTTTTGCAGTCTAATTATGCTTTTGAAAAGGTTTAAATTTTTGGACCCAAACACAGGTCTTGTAGACCTAGGAGCTTGGGTTTAGTCACAAGCGATATAGGTTTGACAACCATGCTAAATCTAAGCGTATTAAGTCTGACAAATCATGCTAGACCCAAGATGCGTGTTGTAACCCAATTTTGGATTCACTAAAATTTTTTAGGAATGTTATTTTATCTTATTATTCATGACAAAAAAATATAATAAATAAAAAAA